TTTAGTATAGACTGGGAATCTAATCTCCTCCAAGTGCAGGCTGTGTTGGACTCTCTAAAGAAGGTGAGGTTTACTGTTAATCCAGAATAGTATGTACCTGGGGTACATTGTAGGGAGGGATTTGGTGAAACCCTAGATGAAAAAGGTTGACGCTTTTCAGACTTCGCCTCATCCCACCTCAAAAAAACAGGTCCAAGGTTTTCTGGGCATCACTTGATACTACAGTTGGTTTGTCCCCAACTTTGCCATTGTTACTGCATCACTCGACAAAAGGTAATAAATCAGTCATGGTCAAGTGGAATGACAAGGCTGAGGAGGTTTTCGGGGAGCTTAAAGCAACCTTATTCCAGTATCCAGTGCTGGTTGCTCCATATTTTTCAATATATTTTTTTTTCCAAACAGATGCCTCCAGCAGGGGCTTAGAAGCTGTTCTGTCCCATGAGGTCACTAGCCTGTCTGATCAGGTGGTGCACTAAAAAAAAGTCAAGGGACCTGCTTTCTGAGCTAAAAAATGCTACATAATGAACAGCTAATGTATTTGAAAAGACAATGCACAATATGCACAATAAAATCAATATACAATCCTTACCCCTGCTCTCTACAGTAGGTCGTGTGTGACATACTTCTATTTGGCATTCTGTAAACTGTGCTGTATATTACATACTTTTGACTGCGGGACTCTGTATTCTGTGGTGTACTTTACAAACACCTGATTGTATGCAATCGAGCATATAGAGTGGTGAGAATTATATAACGTATAACCTTGTGTATAAGACTGAAGTGGTCAGAGTATGTAATATACTGTACATCCCAGTGTACAGAGTGCAATGAACATGAGTATGTAATGTGCAGCACATAGTAATGAGTACAGCATTCCAGGGACCATTAATATTAAATGCCTCCTTCGTTAAGCAACACCCCAAAAAGTAACCGTCTACCGTTCACTGCACCCCTCTTCCACAGCTCACCTCTGACACTTCTGTTCCCCTCCATCCACATCTTACCTTCACACTTCCTTCCATATCTCACCTTTGCGTCTCCCATCCATAGCTCACCTCATCACCCCCCTTTCACATCTTGTCTCTCCCAACTTCTGCATTCCCTGTCCACAGTTCACCCTCATCTACAGCTATCACTAGAGATGAGCGAATTATTCAAAAATTCGATTCGGCTGATTCGCCGAATTTCAGGAAGAAATTCGATTCGATGCGAATTTATTCGCTACGAAGTTAACTTATAAAAAGGGTTTCTAGGCTTCAGAGAGCCTTTAAATTAGTGCAGAACACTGTACCTTTAATTTAAATGCCCTTGGAGATGAGGAAGGAGAAGGAGAAGGAGAAGGAGAAGGATGAGAAGAAGGAGAAGGAGAAGGATGAGAAGAAGGAGAAGGATGAGAAGAAGGAGAAGGATGAGAAGAAGGAGAAGGAGAAGGAGAAGGAGGAGAAGGAGAAGGATGAGAAGAAGGAGAAGGAGAAGGATGAGAAGATGGAGAAGGAGAAGGATGAGAAGAAGGAGAAGGAGAAGGATGAGAAGAAGGAGAAGGATGAGAAGAAGGAGAAGGAGAAGGATGAGAAGAAGGAGAAGGATGAGAAGAAGGAGAAGGAGAAGGATGAGAAGAAGAGAGAAGGAGAAGGATGAGAAGAAGGAGAAGGAGAAGGATGAGAAGAAGGAGAAGGATGAGAAGAAGGAGAAGGAGAAGGATGAGAAGAAGGAGAAGGAGAAGGATGAGAAGATGGAGAAGGAGAAGGATGAGAAGAAGGAGAAGGAGAAGGATGAGAAGAAGGAGAAGGAGAAGGATGAGAAGAAGGAGAAGGATGAGAAGAAGGAGAAGGATGAGAAGAAGGATGAGAATAAGGATGAGAAGAAGGAGAAGGATGAGAAGAAGTATGAGAAGAAGGAGAAGGATGAGAAGAAGAAGGATGAGAAGAAGGAGAAGGATGAGAAGAAGAAGAAGGATGAGAAGAAGGAGAAGGATGAGAAGAAGGAGAAGGATGAGAAGAAGAAGAAGGATGAGAAGAAGAAGAAGGATGAGAAGAAGAAGAAGGATGAGAAGAAGGAGAATTCCAAGCCGGCAAAAAGTGTATCTGCAGAGCTCCGCTATTTCTTAGGCTATTTCTGACAGTTCTGTGACATTCACTCCATACAGCGGTTGAAACATTGTATCTATTTGTTTCCATAAATGGATCCATTTATGGAAACAAATAGATACAATGTTTCAACCGCTGTATGGAGTGAATGTCACAGAACTGTCAGAAATAGCGGAGCTCTGCAGATACACTTAGCGGAGCTCTGCAGATACACTTTTTTGCCGGCTTGGAATTATTCTTATTTTCATCCTACTTCTTCTTCTTCTTTTTCATCCTCATCCTCATCCTCTTCTTCTTTTTCTGAGGATGAGGATGAGGATGAAGAAGAAGAAGAAGTAGGATGAAAATAAGATTAATTCCAAGCCGGCAAAAAGTGTATCTGCAGAGCTCCTCTAAGTGTATCTGCAGAATAGAGGAGCTCTGCAGATACACTTTTTGCCGGCTTGGAATTTATTCTTATTTTCATCCTACTTCTTCTTCTTCTTCTTCATCCTCATCCTCATCCTCAGAAGAAGAAGAAGAGGATGAGGATGAGGATGAAGAGGAAGAAGAAGAAGAAGTAGGATGAAAATAAGAATAATTCCAAGCCGGCAAAAAGTGTATCTGCAGAGCTCCTCTATTCTGCAGATACACTTAGAGGAGCTCTGCAGATACACTTTTTGCCGGCTTGGAATTATTCTTATTTTCATCCTACTTCTTCTTCTTCTTCTTCATCCTCATCCTCTTCTTCTTCTTCTGAGGATGAGGATGAAGAAGAAGTAGGATGAAAATAAGAATAATTCCAAGCCGGCAAAAAGTGTATCTGCAGAGCTCCTCTAAGTGTATCTGCAGAATAGAGGAGCTCTGCAGATACACTTTTTGCCGGCTTGGAATTATTCTTATTTTTCATCCTACTTCTTCTTCTTCTTCTTCGTCTTCATCCTCATCCTCAGAAGAAGAAGAAGAGGATGAGGATGAGGATGAAGAGGAAGAAGAAGAAGAAGTAGGATGAAAATAAGAATAATTCCAAGCCGGCAAAAAGTGTATCTGCAGAGCTCCTCTATTCTGCAGATACACTTAGAGGAGCTCTGCAGACTTTTTGCCGGCTTGGAATTATTCTTATTTTCATCCTACTTCTTCTTCTTCTTCTTCATCCTCATCCTCTTCTTCTTCTTCTGAGGATGAGGATGAGGATGGAAGAAGAAGAAGAAGAAGTAGGATGAAAATAAGAATAATTCCAAGCCGGCAAAAAGTGTATCTGCAGAAGCTCCTCTAAGTGTATCTGCAGAATAGAGGAGCTCTGCAGATACACTTTTTGCCGGCTTGGAATTATTCTTATTTTCATCCTACTTCTTCTTCTTCATCCTCATCCTCTCCTCAGAAGAAGAAGAAGAGGATGAGGATGAGGATGAAGAGGAAGAAGAAGAAGAAGTAGGATGAAAATAAGAATAATTCCAAGCCGGCAAAAAGTGTATCTGCAGAGCTCCTCTATTCTGCAGATACACTTAGAGGAGCTCTGCAGATACACTTTTTGCTGGCTTGGAATTATTCTTATTTTCATCCTACTTCTTCTTCTTCTTCATCCTCATCCTCTTCTTCTTCTTCTGAGGATGAGGATGAGGATGAAGAAGAAGAAGAAGAAGAAGAAGAAGTAGGATGAAAATAAGAATTCCAAACCGGCAAAAAGTGTATCTGCAGAGTTCCTCTATTTCTGACAGTTCTCTGACAGCTCCTTCACATGTACAGCGGTTGAAACATCTGTTTCCAAATAAAAACATCTATATCCTAAATGGAAACAAATAGATACAATGTTTCAACCGCTGTACATGTGTTCCTTCTGTCAGAGAACTGTCAGAAATAGCGGAGCTCTGCAGGGACACTTTTGCCGGCTGATCGGGAAAAATCCGATTCGCGCACCCGAAGTAGGCAAATATTCGGATTCGACGCGAATCGAATTTTTCCTGAAATTCGTATCGAATTCCGGTTCGCCTGGTTCGATTCGCTCATCTCTAGCTATCACCTTTGCATCCCATCTCCATCCACAGCTTAGTTTTTTTCATTCAAACAGCAGCATACTCACTGCATTACCTCCCTTATTCAGCAGCGGTTTGAGACAGAACAAACACAAGAATGTGAGGGTAACCAGATGGTTCCTGGGATTACAATAGTTCAAATTTGTGGTAGAACACAGACTGAAAAAGCAACATCAGTATTCAAATGTCCTCTCCAGGGTACACTGTAGGGTGGCCCACAGTGCCTCTGAAACCTTCGTGTCGAGGGGGATATGTACAAGACACCGGGGAAGTGTCCTGGATGGCAGGTATATCTTCCCACTTTTTGGGTTGTGGACCCTTAAAGAAAAGGCTCAAGAGACATTGTTAGTACTGAGGGGGTTTCACCCATGCAGGGTGAGGAGTTCCACGATAGTCTGGTTAGAGAGAAGAGGACTGTTTTTCAGTACTGTCTGGGTAGGTATGCCCTTGTCTGGCACCCAGAATTCGGGGGTTTAGAGAGACTTCTGGGTGGGAAAGAGCGCCAAACCCTGATTACAGGGACTTTGGTCTTGAGGGAGTTAAGCCATCTGCAAGGGAAGCTTGAAAAGGGACAGGAAGGGATCAGCACCTGTCTGTAAAGTAGAGAGTGAGGCAGTTTACAGCTGTGAGATACTGTTGTGTTGACTGTCTTGGGTCTGAGACTCTGTTTAATGAGCTGAGCTCCTGCAGCTTTTCTTGCACCCCAAAGCAGATTGGAACCTTAACCCAGGTGCAGGGGCGGACTGACAACTCATGGGGCCCCGGGCAATAGGGGATCACGAGGCCCAAACGCAAAAAAGCCTATGAAAAAGGTACCAAGGGCATCTCATGGGGCCCCCTACTGACCCCGGGCCCTCGGGCAGTGCCCGAGTTTCCAAATGGTCAGTCCGCCCCTGCCCAGGTGTGAGACTGGCATTAAGGCTGTGAGGCATAACATTGCTGCCAATATACCAGAACTGTGGACCAGACTTAATTTGCTTTGCTGAAGATAGCTGTTTATTTTTCTGACTTTTGAAGAAGCAATAAAGGCAGTGTTACTTTTGCAAACAGCTGGTCAGTCATTCAAAGCTTCACACACACACACACACACACACACACACACACACACACACACACACACACACATATATATATATATTTATATATATATATATATATATATATTGTATATACACACAAATTGATTCTGTTGTCAACTTCATAAACCCCTAAAAGAAAACTATATATTATATATATTAAGTGTGTGTATTGACTCATCTAATTCTGATTTCTTGACGTGTGCATGAAGGAGAATTGACATGTGCATGAAGGAGAGTAATGTCAATACTGTTCCAGTCTGAGGAACTCCATTGGAATGTGATTAGCACAGATCTTGCAGGCCTGAGGTCATGATAAGATGATACAGAAATGACAGATTTGAAAAAAGCTTTGCCACCATATAACCTTTATATAGGAGAAAGTAAAGTATATAGCAGCGTAGGTGAAGCATATGAAAGTCACCTTGGATATATATTTTTAGATAAAGACACAATAGGGGAGATTTACTAAAACTGGTGCACACAGAATTTGGTGCATCTGTGCAGAGTAATCAATCAGTTTCTAACTTCAGCTGTTCATTTAAGCTTTTAGAATAAAACTTAGAAGCTGATATGTTACTATGCACAGCTGTACAAGATTCTGTGTGCACCACTTTTTGTAAATCTCCCCGTGACACAGATGTCATATATGAAATATTGAAATATGGATCGATTGACAGATAAATACTGTAGATTGATAGATAGATTCTTTTCACAGACAACCAGGAGTCAATTGAGTAGATTTACTAAAGGCAAATATACTGCACTTTGTTAAGTCCAGTTACACTTAGAGCTCAGTAAATGTGGTAAAGCTTTGCTGATTCCCATCATCTAATTATGTAAAATCAAAATGCTGAATGTTTACATTTTTCTTGCACCTTAGTGGGTATTCCTTACAAAGTGAAGATCTACCACATTTATTGCATGCAACTGTGCTTTCAATGTGCACAGTTTATTTGCTTTTAGTAAATCCATTCCATTGCATCAAATTATCACATTTGACTATATCAGTGTGCACTTTTTTATGACAGGAAAAGAATACTTCTGTCAGTGTATTGCATCAGCAGGAACAACTGTTGAAATGAAATCATGAAAGTTCTTTTTGTGATTCATAGCAGGAAAGTCATTTAATAGTGATAAAAAGAAATACTCCTTCAAGAAGTCAGAAAAGACTCTATGACATATACGAATGTGATACCTGTAATTGACATTAACTACATTTGGAAAACACACTAATCATAATAACTTTTAAAAGAAGATAGTACCTCTAAATAATACTATGTATAAAAAGACAAAATATGTAACACATAAATCGCAGCACCTTTGTTCAGAAAAAAAAGCATCAATCAGGTGCAATCAGGGGCATAACACCTTTGTTTAAAAAAAAAAAAAATGAACATGCTTTATTAAGAAGGAGGCTGATGGGGGCGTAGCTTGGACATGGAGTGGAAAACGCTTCTTTGAGAACTCTGCTTTGATCGCTAGCCCAGATACTTAGTCCAGCTCGTTGCTACAACCGCAACTCATGCCCAGTGACAGGAAACACCCACTGGCCACCAGGAAACCAAAAGGTCAGGAGATCACTCACTATTTTCTGCAGCAGCACTAGAATCTGCCTTCAGCCCCTGCAGCCTCTATTCCCTCCAAGATGGCATGGACAAAGACCAGACCGTCCGCTTCCTCCAGCCTGAGGAAATCCTCCGCTGCACAGCCACCCTCCACTGTGGCTGCTGCTTCCTATGCCGCCCGCCTGGACTCACAAATCTTGACACCAGTTTTTGCTGCGGGCTGACTCTCTAGAGGGCTCTGGCACATCTCTGCCCTCAGATCTTCACCATGACAGTGATACCCGGGACATGATTGCTGACTTGTCTTCCATACAGGACATCCAGGCCATGGCAACCTCCATTGTCAATGCTCCATCCCGCAAGATACAAGATATCCATCAGCAGATTGACCCAGTGGAGGAGCAGGCAAGCTCATTGGAGTCTTCCACCACCAACACAGATGCCAGACTCTCAGCCTTGGAGCTCACCCAGTCGGATTACCTTCGTCACCTGATTGATGTCCAACTTCGCATAGATGATGGAGAGAACCGTAGCAGAAAGAACAATTTGTGTCTGCGGCTCGTCCCAGAGGCCAAGGTGGGCACGGACCTCCACTTGACAGTGGTTGCCATCCTTAGCCAACTCCTAGGTAAACCTCTTACAGCAGAGCTGGAATTAGACCGGGTCCACCAAATGTGGGGCCCTTACCCCCACCCTCAGTTTCCCTGGGGAATGCCTCTGTCACCCCTCTGAGAGATGTGCTATGCCAGGTGCACTTTTACATTAATAAGGAGGTGGATTTTGATGGTGCAACTGGCCGGATTTACCCGGATATCTCACGCCAAACTCTCATAATGAGGGATATGCTATCCCTCCTTGAAGTTATATGGGAGTTTGGTGCTATGCATCGCAGGGGCCACCCATTCTACCTTGTTGTCAGCAAGTAAGGTGCGTCCTTCTATCTCCACTCTCCCGACCAACTGCCTATGGCTCTGATTTTCTGGAGCAACCCGCTGGGACCATACCCAACTGGCTGGACTCGCTCCTGCATTCTTCACCAATGAGTCAACCTTCTTCATGGCCTCACAGGACATTCCAAGCACGCTCTAGGACACCTAGCTGGGAATCTCCAAGGTGTCTCCTGGCTTCTGCAGAGGACTTACCAACCCATTTTTTGGTGGCTATTATCCGCAGTACTCTCTGATCTTGGAACATATTTTGCTTAGTACTTGGCTAAGTAAGTTACACTACAACTGCGGTTTCCTAGTTTACCGCTCTAGCCTTTCTTACTTCACAGTATCGGCCCTACCCAGTCTGTGTACTTTAACTTGCAGTTGGACTCACTGTCGGTGTGCCGCGGGTGGGTGCACTTTCAGGACTTGGCGCTATAACTGGTTAGGTCAAGTTAGCTGACCCCTTGATGTTTAAATAGTATATCTGCTATGTTATATTTTATGTAAAATTCTCTGTATGTCTGTCTTTGGTTTACTGTAGATACTTTGCCGGGGACTGCTCTTTATGATGTGGTGGTCTCTGTTGGGTGAGTCCCCTGTCCCCGCTAACCCTCACCCCCTGGGTTGGCCTTCACTGTGGGACCCCCTCCCTGGGCACGTACTGTGCTCTGCCTTTCTCCCCCTTTGCCTGGGTGACCAAATTTGAGACATTGCGGTACATGGGACTCACCGTGCAGACCCCTGCACTTGGCATCTATATATTTCCTCTTTCAACTGCCATTCACCTTTCATGCCTTTAGTCCCGATTTGTGTACCTTTTTTGGGTTGTCCCTTGTTGTTAGTTGCAGCTATTATCCTCCAATTCACCCTAATTTCTGTTGATAGACTGGACTGACCGGTCTGAGCATCTCTCCCTCTATGAACCTTAGTCCTTCTACTACCCCCCCTTAGGTTTTTCCCTAGCGGGTGTGTCTTGAACATCCGGACATGGAAATTAGTGTGCACTACACTTAGCTTTGTCCCCCAATTTCCTCTATTTAGGTCTTCTTTCACTTCCAGTTTCACAGCAGCCCCTTTTATTCATTGTCCAGTTTCCAGTGAGCCCTTTATAGAAGCTTCTTTCCCATTTCTCACCTTTCTCCCCCTCTTGTTTATCCCCTCTTCTCTGCTCCCCATTTATCTTTCTCTTCCTTATTCCCCCCTCCTTCCCCCTGCCTCTCCAGCTTCCCCTCCTGCCCCTTCTTTTCCCTCTCTCCTTCCCCCTTTTCTTCCTCCTCTCTGCCCCTCTTCCTCATGCTTCCACTCATTTTTCTATTCCCAGTTTTTCTAGTTCTAATCTCCTTTTGACTATCCTCTCCCGGGGGACTCTCACCATCCTTTCTCTGGTTGGACACTCCAAGGGTGTTGCCCACCATGGGTACTCTGAAGTTTGCCTCACTAAATGCTTGGGGCCTCAGTGTTCCAGGGAAGCACTCCAGGCTCCTCTCAGACCTGAAAAAAAGTAAGATGCAAGTATATATACAAGAAACTAATTTCAGGTCAAACCATGTCCCTCGGTTGACCAACTGGGACTATCCAGTGGCCTATCATAGCCCCTCACCCATCCCAAAATTGAAGGGGGCAGCATCTTGCTGGCTAAAACAATTCTGTGGTCTCTCACTGTGGTGCAGCAGGATCCACAGGGTCGATATTTGTTTGTCAAAGGCAAAATTGGTAAACTTACAGGTACGCAATTTTTATTTTCCAATTGTGAATCACCTCACTTTTTTGCGTAATTTGCTTTGCTGGATTTTATGAAAGGGATCCTAATATTTGGTAGTAACATAAATTTTGCACTGGACCCCCTTCTTGATGTCTCCAAGGGCACATCTCATCTATCCTTCTCTTGTCTTAAACGCCTTAAACCGGAACTTCATCTTTTGAAACTAGGTTGACCCATGGCGCATTTCCCATCCCCAAGATAGGGATTACTCCTTTTATTCTGCAGTACACCAAACATATTCATGTCTGGACTACTTTTTAGTCCAATAGAAAGACTTACCTTGGGTATGGGTAACCCATATAGGCAAAATCTCCTTTTCAATCATGCCCCATTTATATGGATCTACATTTTTGGCCCACCATCCATAGCCCCTTTCATGGTGTTTAAATGAGGCTCTACTCCAATCCCCTGAAGTCAGGGTAGCCCTGGAGCGTTCCCTTTTGGACTACTTTTCCCTGAATGCTGACTCAGTGGACAGCCCCCTCATAATTTGGGAGGCCCACAAGCCAGTAATTCAGGGGTCGTTGATGTAATTTGGTGCTCAACTTAAGCGGGAACGCTCCCTCCAAGTTGACACCTCATTGGCCCGCCTCCGACGGTTAGAGGGTGCCCACAAAGTGAGCCT